TGATGCTACCATGGAGGTAGATTGTAGGTTATGCATGACGTTTTCGCAACTCAATAAATAATTTGATGCTTATGGTTCAAATCTTTCTTCCCACAATATAATCAATATGACTAACATAGACATTACTACGAAGAAAAGAAGAATTATGTAATACATCATAATACATCCTACATGTTACCTAGTTTTTCATAGTACCTTCATAATATCACAATCAAAAATTAACGTTTATATTTTATAATATAACTTTCATATAAAATATTTGCCTCATATAAAATATTTACTTGGTTAAAAATAAGGCTAATTATAAACATTTTTCTATGTGATATTAAGAAATTAGAATTTTTTCATGATATAATTGTGATATCCAAGTTTAGTTCTAATGTTCTTTAATAATTTTATTTAAATCTTATTTTATTTTTGACTACACCTAGTAGTAAGTAGGTATATTTTACTAATAAGTTCATTACGTAATTACTATATACAGTACATATAATACATAATATAATTATGTTCATGTTAACGTTTCAATAATTGTATTTTCATAAATTATATAAAATTTTATTTTGTTTATATTTTTCTCTAAAATTTCTTTAAAAACTTCTTATATATTAAAACAATATAAATATATCATAATAAATCTTTTTTTACTCATAAAAAGTATATTTAACTTAAATTGACTTTTCATCATCTTATCCACTACTAAAGTCGTCTTATCACACATATGACGAAATTGATGTCCTTAAAAAAATTAAATTTTAAAGAATTGTAATTTATTTAACAATTTTATAATTCTTACTATGACAACTAAGACTATAGTGAACATGAAAAAAAATAAATCAGTCTCTTTATCTCATCACAAAAATTAGGAAAAATCGACAAACCTTAAAGTCATCATCTTATCCTCCTTTCCCCTATTGAAAGTTTATCCGGGAAACACGTCATTGTTTTACAAACAATTGTAAAAAATATAAAAAAATAATTATTTGAACTACAAGGTGTAAAAACTTATTTTGATATATTATTTCAAGCGTAAAAAATCAAGCGAAATATGATTGAGAGATATAAAAAGAATATCTTAAAAAACAATATATTTTTCAGCATACTCAATATTTTGCACAGTATTTATGCTTCAGATATTATTTTTATTTTCATATACTAAAACTTCAATAAAAGATGTGGAATGGAGCGGGAATTTCTAATAATACCTACAAGTTCATAAAATGACATAACGCTGCCTCAGATGAACGCTTCAATTGATGACCACAAAAGCGGCGTGGCCGGGTTTCACTACACCACTAAAAGGCGTGAAGTGCCCGGAAATGATGCTTACAATGGCTACAAAAAAGCCACTTTACAAAGTTACCGCATAAGTGCTACCATAAAATCTATCGGCTTTTCTAGGCACTTACGAAAACGTGCTCTAACTGAAGATGTCCGTATTTTTATATTTTACATATAAGATACATGTAAAATTGTTAAAAAAAATGTATCATACAAAAGCTTCTGTCTGTATATTTTATTAAGTTATTAAGTGCAAACAAATATTAATCCTCCACCAACAATGTAAAATTTTCAATCATAGTATGCAATCATATCAATAATTCATGAAATATATTCGAATTATTTCGAATATATTTCATGAATTATTGTTATTATATGTATGTCTGATATATCTATATAAATGTTTATTTCACAATTGCATCAAAAACAATTAATGTAAAACACTGAAAGAGCTATTTTTAGGTGAAATCTTTATATATTTATTGAAATTAGCGTTAGAAAGATATAAAACACAAAAAAGAATTCAAATTTATTTCCACAAAATTTTATGAAACATAAATAGTTGAGGGCATAGATACGATTTCTATTTGTTTTTGCAACGGAACGAACAACTATACTAGCGTCCTTGTATAAATAATTTTATTATCAAGTTTTTTTAGAACGTAATTGAACCTCACTATTTATTTTCTTAAAATTTATTATAAAAAAATTAACGTATCTTAAAAGATCCCATATAGCCGCGATGGAGGATTAAATATAAAGTTATTAAGTACAGATACAAAGTTTCTTTCAATTCTGCTACAGCATACAACTTCAATTGACTGATCTAATTTGGCGTATGTATCTCTAAGTGTATTATAGCGATATTTTTGTCGCTTTTATCGGCCACTTTGCGAAACATTTTTAGTTTGACACACAGCATGCAATTCTTTTGCTGATACTGGCTTATTTTTGATGATAACCGGCTAATCTATTATAATTAGACATTTTACGTCAACGTATTTAAATATTTAGCGAAATCTCTTGAACCTTTCAGTATTCAAACGATACACAAAATCATATCTAATCTAATTGTCTAACGTCAATATTATTGCGATGGAGAGTAAAATTGTTGAGGTTTATAAACAGCTTACATCAATATACGAGTTATGATCGTTGGGGAAATAAACATGAATCTATAATCGCTCTATTCGCCAAATGTAATAAGTTCATTATAGAACATCCGGTATGTAACAATTATAAATGCGATTTGATGATGTAAACATTATATGAATCGTAATATAATATTTACGTAAAATATTTTATATGTATATTTATGTATATTTATTATATGTATATTTATTATATGTATATAGATGTAATAATTTCGACGAGTTTATCTTCGATACTTTAAATTTCTACATACTTTAAATTTCTTCTGTGATAACCAAAATGCTAATTAGCACACTGAAAGCGTTACTTCCTCAGCAAGATCGCTGAATATTATGGCGGATTCGATATGCGTCCATAATTAGAAACATATCGCAGTGCACGATTAAACGAGATACGGTGGAACTCTGTTTACAGCTTTTAATTTACTTGTTTATACTTTATAAAATATAGAAAAATGCGGATTTCACCTTGGTCTTAAACCATAGTATTAATTCATGTTGGTGTTTACATCAACACTAAGAGAGTAAGAATTCTATAAGCACCACATGATGTTCAAATCCACACCATGTTGGTGTTTTATGTCAATATTAATTATACGAGATCCCTCAGATTTTTTAAACTTTGACGGTGTGATTTATGAGCTGAAATAAGAAAAAAATGTTATATAGACATAGATCTTCAAACGCTTTATGAGCAAAAAAACAAAATATAAAATATGTAAAAAACAAATTTACTTAAGTTTGCATTTCAAATTGCTGTCCGTCCAAGTCAATACAAGTTTCAAATCAATATAATTTTTATTATCTTTTTTATAGAAGCAATCTTTCTATATATGAAGACTTCATGCAAAAAAGATGATAAATTCAAAATTACATCGATATCAAGATTGTTGATTAACACGAACGGACGACAATTTGAAGTGCAAACTTAGGTAAAATTGTTTTTTTTTATTTTATATTTTGGTTAACTTTTAATAAAAATATTTAAAGAATTTTTTTCTTGTTTCAGCTCATAGCTTATACAGTTAAATTTATACGAAAAATCCGAGAGAGAGAGAGAGAGAGAGAGAGAGAGAGAGAGAGAGAGAGAGAGAGAGAGAGAGAG